TACTAATTAGCGTACTGTATATGTCGATTTCGTACAATAATTATAAAGAAATCGACGTTCGTTTTTTTTTTTTAAGTATCCTTTTTTGGTTTACGGAATTCACGCGCGGATGAATCAGTCTCATCGAAATCATGTCAAGAAAATTCTTGGAAAGGAATCTATTTTGATAATTTAAATACTTTCTTTTTGAAAATCTTGTGAGATCGATGCAAACCTGGGGGTTACAGGGTTTGGTAATATATGAAAATTCAAATCATGGTAATAAAACACTCAACCCCGACGCTTGCTCGCGATAAGATCTTAGATTCCCTATATCGTTTTATATGACATTTATGAGTATACATAAAACAATATGCAGTTTGAACTAGCATACACCATCTGAACTATCAGAAATTAAAACTGCATCTCGTTGTAAATTCATTGTCAAATGGTGTATATCAAAATGTCCAATTCGTGATAGAGCATCATTTTAGCCTTATTGTTAGTACACAGTATTCAAAGGTACAATATCTTCTTTCATGTACATAGTCCTTGGAGTTCTGAACTCGTGCCACTAAACTATGTATCTGTTAACTATCTCGTGAAATACGATGATGCTAAAAAATAATTCTTATCGAATGTTTTCGTGCATGTAACAGATTTTAATTTTTTTTAAGAAATTCTTATACGGAGTTTTCAATTTTTATATCACACAGGAAGTGATTCACAATCTTATGTGGATGTTAATAGAAAACGAATAAACCATTATTACTTTACTAACACTCCTCGAAAATAGGAAAAATTATTATTTTCTCACATCATCTGAAATTAATCGGTCGCCTTTTGAGAGATTGTACGAGATAAAGGTAAAAAAAAGTGTCTTATGCGTTTCTGTGCTAAAACGATGGTAATTCAAGGTCTTGGAGTGAAACTTTAGTTGGCACGGAAATCACAGATGGCGCAGGGTGTCCTCTGTAGTCAATTAGGGCCTCAGAAATTATGAATTCAGAGGGTTTCTGGAGTTTTACTTCAATTTCTTTACAATTATTGTACGAAAACGACAGATGTACGCCATTTAGTACAATACTCGATATAATTTGACACAGTTGTCAATATAAAAACGTACGTCGGCACCGTAGGTATTTAGAGAAACCTTTTTCTACCGACGTGGGACAAGTTCCTCGACGTGTTTCACTTCACCTTAAGAAAGTCAGTAAATCTTTGTACATCAACTCTATCTCTTCAAAGGCTCTCTACCGACTCTGGAATGAATTACACGTATTAATTAAATATCAAGTAGGAACTGCAATAAATTCTTAACATCGGGTCCTGTCAACATCTTCCGTGTAATTATACTCGTAGTCATTTACCAAAGAATCGTCCTTGATGCATAAACTAAAAACTCGAGCACCGTTCACCCTGTCCGAAGGTCTGCACAATTTATCCGTGCTTTTCCGGAAGTTCATTGAGACCTCGTTACCGGTGACGCCTCATAAACTTGCAGTTATTCTCGTATACCTCAATTTTATCCAAACTGTAACTAGCAATCCTTATATTATTTCGTCCCAATACCAAATTTTATCCAATGGGATTCCAAACAATTAAATTAAAAATCATTGATTATCTCATAGCGTATGTAGTCCTTACTAAAATTACGAATTGCAGACATGTATTTTTCTCTTTTCTGTTTTATTTTTTTCTGACGTCACCTCTTCACTGAAAGTGATATGAAAGAGATTTTATCGAATGGGATTCCAAACAATTAAATTAAAAATCATTATCTCATAGCGTATGTAGTCCTTACTAAAATTACGAACTGCAGACATGTATTTTTCTCTTTTCTGCTTTATTTTTTTCTGACGTCATTTCTTCACTGAAAGTGATATGAGTCAGCCTATGTATATATATGAGAAGTCAAATCGTTAATGAAAGTATTCCCCAAATTGGGTGTACCGATTCAGAGAATACTTTCAAAGTTTCAGATGGTTTTATCCAACACCCTTAAAAAAAGTGTCTTATTCGAGTCGACTGATTTGAGGGGAGTTCCACTCCACCTTAATGTCACCTCGCTTTATAATAGCCTATTAGCATCCGAGATTATTTCCAAAATCTTTTTCTTTTTCCTATTCGATTTTAAACGTATATATATTAACTTCACAACTGGCTTTACGTAACGCATAATTTTCCGAAGATCGTCACGAGGCTCTCGTTCACTTCTGCAAGCGAGTCTTGCATTCCCGATAATTCACGAGCACTCCTCTTCCGGACGATTATCGATAGTCGGATAACGATCGTTCGAGGAAGATCTATAGTTCGTCGAAGGTTTCAATTATTTCGATACCGATCTATCGATTTTTTAGAATAACTACGAAAACCACAGATTTAGTACAATACTCGATATAATTCGACACGGCTGACACTATAAAAACGTACGTCGGCAACGTGGGTATTTAGAAAAGCCTCTTTTACCGACGTCGATCAAGTTCCTCGACGTGTTTCACTTCGCCTTAAGCCGATCTGCACTATATAGGAGAAAGTTTCTTCCCAAGTACACGTACAAAAAGAATCTAACAGTAAACAGTAAATTTGAACGAGACAGACGAAGGCCTCCACTCGACTGCTCGCGTACGTGTAGAAGCGGTCCGAACACCACCCGACGCGACGTCTAAGGTCACCATTTCTTCACTGAAAAATCTCGCAGAAAGGATAATATTGCGAAATTTAATATTCACAATAGTGTCATTTTCCGGCATAGTACCAAAAATCCTTGCCCCTATTCTTTATTTAATCTTCATTTTAACCCCAAGAACATTTGACGCGACGTCTAAGGTCACCATTTCTTCACTGAAAAATCTCGCAGAAAGGATAATATTGCGAAATTTAATATTCACAATAGTGTCATTTTCCGGCATAGTACCAAAAATCCTTGCCCCTATTCTTTATTTAATCTTCATTTTAACCCCAAGACCATTTAACGCGACGTCTAAGGTCATCATTTCTTCACTAAAAAATCTCCCAGAAAGGATAATATCGCGAAATTTAATATTCATAATCGTGTCATTTTCCGGCATAGTACCAAAAATCCTTGCTCCTATTCCTTATATGTGCCCATAATTATGAAAGTGGTCCAAGTCAAAATTGAAAAAAAAAATGAGTTTATCAGTTATTTCACGCCACATTATTTCAAACTAAATTCAATGTAATTTCGAAACAAAAAATATATGACTTAGACCACTTTCATAATTATAGGCACATATAATCTTCATTTTAAAACAAGTAAATCTCCAGAAATCCTCTGAATTCCTGATTTCTGAGGTCCTAATTGACTACAGAGGGACCCCCTGCGCCATCTTATTCGAGTCGACTGATTTGAGGAGGGTTCCACTCCACCTGAACCGAAAGACTGCGTTTGCGGATAGCTGATAACGCTAGATAAAATATCATATAAAAGGTCCATTTCGAAGGAACGTCTCAATCCTGCGGGAGAAACTTGTTAAATCGGACATCGATCAACGGGCACCCGATGGGAGCATGCACGGAGTCTAGGGGTAAATCTACTTAACGATTCAGTCGATAAATTAAATATCGACGCGCATAATGGTACATAACGTCGCGTACAATGCACACACGACTCGGTGCGCACTAGCAGCCGACTGCCATTAGCTGTAATTATCCCGGGAAAAAATGAACGTGGTACACGGCGCTCCGGCACATCAGGGACGCGTGGGTGTTCCTCCTCAGCGACCCAGAGGTGTCCCCTCTTGCCCTGCTCCCTGGGGGTCCCTTCACGTGCGATCCAGCCTTTGTGTTAATTTATTTAAATTACCCGGCGAATGGCATGTGGCCGAGCGATTCGCCATTGTCAGCGATTCCGTTATTTATCGTCTTACAGGTGGTTGCGCGCGTGCGCCCCTGCGGCCTCTCCTCACCGTTCGCAGTTCGTTCTCTGATTTTTTTTTCCCCTCCTTTTCCTTCCCTACCCTTACAGTTATATAAAAGAGTCAGCCTATATATACATATATATGTATATAAAAAAAGTCAAATCGTTGCTGAAAGTATTCCCCGATTTAGGTGTACCGATTAGTTTGAAATTTCACCACGTGAACATGGAGTTCCTAATGGCGGTGTATTGTTCTAAAATAATGCCGTGCTATTGGGACAAACCGTAATTTATTGCTGATGAAGCTATTACCGTTCATCTATAAATAATGACATTAAGAAAAAATTCAATACGTGGAATAGGTGACAGAGAAATTTGCGAGTATTTCGTTAATCGGGAACGTCAATGTTTAATTTACAGTACCTGAGGAACAGACTACACATTTTTAAATAATTGAATTAAAGGGCCAAGGAAATCGCTCGTCAACTGATCAAGAGGATCCAGAATTCTATGAGAAAAACGTGCCACGATCTATCTTCCTAATGGACGTTAAATCCTCGTGATGAAGTCATGATAATTAATACTCCAGGGCATCCTTCTCGAGTTTCAAACCACGAAGGGATAAATGCGACCGTAAAAACCCTTCGAAACGTTCAGCCTGCTATTCCCAGGCGACAAGTGGCAGCAAAAACAAAAAAAAAAGAAAATTGTCTCACACTGTCAGACCATTCGTTCGAGCGGGCCCACGGAGGACTAATTGATTGAGAAAAAATGTATAAGCATCAAATACCACGAGACTCGACAGAGTTTGGCCAAATACATTTTTTATAATATTTATCGTTAGTAAAAGTATTCCCCGAATTGGGCGAACCGATTCGTTTGAAATTTCACCACGTGGATGTGGAGGCGCTAAAGTAGGTCCTGAAATTCATGAGATTTCATTTGTCATGAAGAAATGTATTATAATTAAAATTTCATTACTTTACCGAAATGACATATGAAACCCTTCAGTTAGTATAATTCTCAACGTAGACTGTATAAGACTTCAACATGAATATAAATGTCGGTAACGGGAGGTGCCATCTTATGTTACCACTTAAGTATTCAAAATGGCATTACCACCAAAATGGGTATAGATGAATTTTATTATATATCGACGTTAAATTTCTTAGCGCCTTTCATATCCTCTTAATATTTAAACGCTCCCTACTAATCGTTGGACACGGCTATCACTTTTATTATTCGTTCGTTTCTTCGTGCACTTCGGTGATAAGAACACCTTGCCTTGTTCAATTCCCTGGATATGTAAAACAGCATATAGGATGGAATAACGTTACGACATATTTTCGGACTATACACATTTGCGATCTTACTTATAGGTACAAAAAACAATATTCTACGTCACTACCTTACGTATATAAGGGGGTTTCTATACAAGCGCGATATCGATACCGCCGGGCACTTCGTGACGGAAATTGTCCACGGTACAGCACCCCCGACATCGTCGACGAGGAAGTCGCCAGTTTGATTTCCTTGCCTGTCCGATACTTATGTTACACCTGTACAAGCATATCACCAGCTCCAACCGGTTGAAGCAACGCGCGAGGACTCGCGTCAGTGACAATAATTATTACGCTTAATTAGACGACCTGCATGTACGTTACAAATGTCTCACGAGTATCGCTTCTTACACTAGCCATACCCTAGAAACGTTTGCAAAGTGGCTCGTTCCGAGCGTCCGGAACCTGACGGACGGAAGTCGAAAGAAACGGAGAAACGGGTGAAGTGCTCAACACTGCGTTCCGAAATCTACCACCGACAGCTGCGGAATCGCTTTGTCCCTCTTCGTCTCCGGGCACCCGGCAAAGACGTAACTAATTATACCAGAGGAAGATTTCCCACCAGTTTGGTCTCCACTTAGGGCTACGACATTTGGATCAATGAGCACCAAACGACCGCTGCACTTTTCTCTGGTCCCAGATCCAAAGGGTTCAAGCAAACTGATAATCGACTTAGAAGAAACAACAACTCGCAAGGAACTATTAGACTAATAATTCCTTATACAATTTTTTCACCTCGTTGGAGGATTTTTATAAATATAACAGGGCTCCTTTTGCTTTGTCGCTTGATATTCCAAAGTCTGCCCTAGCTTGTTCGATTGAATATTATAGTTTGCTTGTTTTTCCTGGTTTCTAATAAAATGGACGCCCGTGGTTATTTTTGCCCGTCTTCGGGCACCCGGCAAAGACGTAACTAATTACACCAGAGGAAGATTTCCCACCAGTTTGGTCTCCACTTAGGGCTACGACATTTGGATCAATGAGCACCAAACGACCGCTGCACTTTTCTCTGGTCCCAGATCCAAAGGGTTCAAGCAAACTGATAATCGACTTAGAAGAAACAACAACTCGCAAGGAACTATTAGACTAATAATTCCTTATACAATTTTTTCACCTCGTTGGAGGATTTTTATGGACTATGGACATTGGATAGTGGCCATGTTCAGTAGAAAACGCTTCTCGGCAAATCATTACAGCTTGGTAGACGTTATTTAGTATTTTAAAAGTATTCAAACATCTAATCGCTAAGCGAGTGGCGTGTGTTAATTGTGCAGCCGTTGTGTCTATTGAATATGGCCATTACGGATTAATAGATAGTCACGGATAATAAATTCGGATTGACCTTGACGAATCAAGGCCGGGCTATTCTGATTCTTCTTCAGACCGCTGTTGTTCGATTAGTCGAGACCGCGAATGCGTTTCAGCGGTTAATGTTAACGGAGCATCATGTTCATTGTTTTGGGATGCGAGCGATGGACGATATCCAAATTGCGATCATTAGAACATATGTCGATTAGGATGCAATCCGATGGACGATTGAACTGATACAGTATGCTCTTCTGATGGGATCCATTATCCGACCACTTCGGAAACGTATCGGGTACCATTCCTGACGAAGGACTGGAACTGCTGGGCTGCGCCCTGTAAAATAAAATTAATCATCATGAACAATAATCAAGTGGCACCGTTATATTTATAAATTCTATTACTATTATTACATTTTTAGAGCAAATCATTATACAGAGTATATCACAAATCCACAAGAAAAATGAAGGTATTCAGTTGAGATTTCCGTGGGAACTCTATTTTGTTTATATTATTTCAATATAAAAATTCTCGAGATTACCAGATTATCGAAACTATGAAACTATGTCTATTCAGATTACTAAGTTGCCCTTGATGATCTAATCCTGATCGAGTCACGGATACTAACGGTTGGAGTCACATATCTTGGAATTAAGTCGATCCATTAATTATTACTTATGTCAGTAATATAATACTATTTTTATTACTAAGTAATTACCGTAATAGCTGCACCAAGGAACTGACTGAAGGCCCTGGTTACACCAATGGCGGCGTTCACCACCTGGCTACGAACTGTGTCATCACCACCTCCACCTTCATTACTAATGCCAAAAGGTTGACCGGACTCTTTAGGATTTTGTGGAGCTCCAAAAGGCCCAAATGAATTAAAAAGCGGTGGAGGATATGTCGAACTCGGTGACCAAGCTGTTGTCACAGATTTTTGTCGAGGCGTAGTCGTTACCACCGTCAACGTCTTTGGCCGAGACGTGGAAGTCCTTGCAGGTTCTACTTTATTCTGTCCAGAAGACTGAAAAAGTAAATAAAGAATATCATTAAAAAATAATCATCAGGAAAAGCGAAAAATTGCAAGTGATCACGCCAGAAGGGTGCCATGAAAGAAAACTATATATTTAGAACCTGGAAGTGGATGATTGTGAATCAAATAATATAATAAATGCAATAAGAGGGAATAACACGAGTCCTTTGAAAGTGTGCAAACATTTTTATTCTTACAAAAATAACAAATCGTAGACGATAAAATAAGGAAATAAGTTAGATAATTGTTTAATTACATTATACCTTTGTTCTGCTGCGACTCGCTAGCGAAACTACCCTGGCAGCACGAAATATTATTGCAAATGTATTTGCAAAACGTTTACTTAAGAATATTATTTTTATAATACTTGTGTAATATTAGCTCCATATGTTTCAATATGATCTCCATATGATCATAGTTTGATCCAATACCCTTAAGAAAAAGTGTTTTATTCGAATCGACTGATTTGTAGGGGAGGCTTTCACTTCACCTTAAGAGGGTATGAAAGAATCAGCCTATATATATCTGACAATGAGAAGTTAAATCGTTGGGGAAAGTATTCCAGAAATTTTACCACGCGATTATAAAGGCCCTAAAGTAGGTCCTGAAACCCATGAAATTTATTTACTTCAATCAAAAGTTTATTTACTTGTCATGGACTAGAACCAACATGGCGTGGTCCGTGCACGTTTTCGATGTTTTACGGTTCTTGTAGGCTTGAAATCCAAGATGAAGAGTTTCAGGACCTTGCTCGAACAATTTAGAATATCGCAGAAATGGAATATTACAGAGTCCGGTGAGAAAATGTGGTTAATACTTTCACCAACGATTGCAAAATGTAGGGAAAGAATAACGCGAATTAGCCCGTGATTAACTTACAGAAGACTGCAGTTGCTCCCGAAGATTATTAGGAGGAGTACTGGGTTCAATTCCTTGAGCCTTCAAGAATGCAGCCAGAAGAGCAGCGTCGTTCCCACCGCTTCTCGTAGAAGTGGGAGGACTGGGCTTGACCTTAGGTTGGTTGCTCAAGAGCGCTCGGAGGAAGGACTCGTCGTCTTGGGATAGGCCTAATGCTGACCCCGCGCCACCTGCGAATCAAACCTCATTAAATAATTTATAAACCTTTTTGGAAATTCATCGATTCACGGTTTTACCGCAATGAATAAATTCAATCGTCTAATAAAGTGGTAAGGGTGATAAACAGGACATACGAGGATAGATGACTCTTGGTGTTCCTGCTACATTTAGACGTATGTCTAATTCAATAATTAAGAAACAACTCATTTTACCTACCCAAACCTTGTGCAGAGTTCAATAACGCGGCCAAAAACTTGGCATCTTCCTCTGGGGAGAATGTGCTACTAGCCGCTGTCGGTCTCGTTACAATTTGAGCAGGGGTTGGTTTAGAAGTCGTAGTAACTTTTGGCGCAGCAGTAGTTGTGGTGGCAAGTACTTGAATGGGTAGTTCGGCTGTTTTTTGCGTAGCTTGAATGGACCCAAGGATCAATTCTGCGAGATTTACAGGCGTGGTTGACGTCGTTGGTGCTGGGGTAGGTTTCGGAGTTGTTTGGACTGGACGTTTGGCAGGTTGTGCTGGTCTTCTGGTTGTCGCAGGTTTCTGAGTACTGTAGGGGGCGAAGAGACTACCCCCAAAAAGAGTCTGCCACAAACTCGCGCCGAAACCTTGTCTGGCTGGAGCTGGAGTAGTCCGAATCGGTTTTGGGGATGGTGCAGGTTTCGCGGTGATGATCACAGTGGGTCTGGTAGTGCTAATTGGTTTTGGTGTCGTCGAACTTGTAGTCTGCTGGGTGGTGGAAGATGTTCCAACTGTCTTCCAAGTAACTGGAGTCGTTATTGTGCTGCTGGTTGCTGTAGCCGACTGACGTGGAGTAGTCACAGCAGGCGTCCCAATCTGAAGGGGTTTCCGCGAAGTTGGCGCTGGGCTTCTTGTAGTCGAGAACAGGTCGATTACGATTGGATTGCCTCCCGTCTTCAATGATTCCAGTAAAGATACTGAATTCGGCGACAGGTTTGAAGGCTGAATAGCCTTTGGTGAACGTGTCGGACCCGAACTGTCCAGAGCCAAAGACAGAATCTGCAGGAAACACAACACTCGTTAATATAATAAAAATGTATATAAAGAACAATTTATATCTAAAATGTAAAATCTCCGTTTTCAGAATGCATTAAAGAGATATGAAATGGTCATATATATATAATGACCCTTTAAACTCGAGAGCCACGGGAAAATTCATGTTTCCAATAAAATATTGACTTGTACACTGGGAGACATCAATGCCCTCCCGTCCTGCACAGGCGATGCCGTATCTGCAAGGGGAGGCATTCATGTCCGCCATTGTACAAGAAACGTGTTTAGTTTACCATCACAACTATTATTGTGTTTATTGGAGCCGAAAAACCATCAAACTCCCCGCAGATTTATCGTTAAAGAGATAAGGTCACGAGTAATTAATCTTAAAAGTATTTTGTAAAAAAAAATTGACCGATTCTTCGGGTAGAACGCTGCCAAACGGTAGCACGAAAGGGACACCACCGAAGTGTTCCGCGGGGCACAATTAAAGTTGGCTCACACCAAAAGGGGGAGAATTTTTCCCCGCAAACCGGTAGAGATCTTGCGGTAATTGGCCACTTTTCGCAAAGAGCTTGTCGTCGGCATAGCCGGCGGGTTTGCCGTAAAAACCAGCTGCAGAATTGCGATGATTGGACCGTTGGGTGACGTCATGCCGGTTGCCCCTTTCAATGCCGATGGCGTGCAAAGTAGTTGCCATAGTGTGCCATTTAGTGGCATAGTGTGCCACAAACGATTCACATAACTTCATTCCACGATCGAGCCGAACCGACGTGAGATTTCTCGCGGCAAGGCAGAAACGCGATTCAAGATTTCGCTCGTAAAAGTTAACGTTGGATTTCCTGCTGGGATCAAGCAGTTGAAAGTAACTTTATACTCCTGAGCCAAGCTAGAAATATCATCCGTTTCAATTTTCGTCCATCCGATGACTGAATGTGGAATACCGATTATGAAAAGAAATGTTTACGAGAATAAAAAAAGCATGGTCCATACACTGTTAAAAAAAAATTCGTACGCTTTTAGTACATATGGTTGCAGTCAAATTATAAATTTGATGTCTTAATAGTGAATTAGTATACATTTATTATAATTTATTTATATATTTTAATTTATATACTTTTTTTTAAACAGTTTATGTAAGCCACCCGCGCGGAACGATACTGAGCACTTTTCAGGACGATTTACATAGATTTAGAGACATTATGCAGATTGATGCAGTTTGTGAAAGCAAACTAGCCACTTCCCCCGGCAATATAGTAGTTTCCACTATTTATCAGGGAACAAAAGTCTCAGATTCTACCCAATACCCTTAAAGAAAAGTGTCTTGCTCGGATCGACTGATTAGAGAGGGGTTTCACTCCACCTTGAAAACGAAATAAATTGAAACGGAAGATCTGTTCTTATCGAATTATCGTAAAAGAATATACTAAAGTCATTTGCGGCTTTAATTAATCACTCACCTTGTTAGCTAGCAGTTGTTCTACTTCCGAAAGTGTCTTCGTAGGTGTAGTTCCAGAAGCGGTGCCTGGCGACTGCAACTGAAATATATTCAACATGAATCTACTTTAATGTATATCCGAATAAACATTAAAAGGAAAATTCTTGTTTAGAAAATGATATACTCGATATTTGGTCATGAACTCAAATTTGTTTCAGTTAAGGTTTACAATTATACGAACTACTTCACCTTTGTTCCGAATGTAACTAGGAGATGCATAAAATGACATGTTTCAAAGTAGTGACTTCTAAAAAATGGACACAGCAACATTCTTCTTTATAAAATAATTGACTCTAAGCCGAACAATTTATCTCATCCATATAAACTATATTTTCGAGAAAGTTTATAAATTTTATATTCAGGTATCAAGTTTAAATTATTTGCAATATTTAATGCCAATCACCCAGAAATGGCTAGTTTAACATTTGAACGTTACTCGGTGGATTTTTAAAAACCACCGTTTTCAGACGAACAAAATTTAATAGACCATGAAGACATAGTGTGTTCGATGGGTATATATTCCCCTTGAATAGAGAGTACATTAATGTTTTATGAGTGAAGACAATAAAGACATATTACCAAAGCGTTTAAAAATGCCAGGTCATCAAATGTCGTGCCAAAGGCATCTTGTCTCTTTGTATTCCCTGTAAGGAACCCAGGGAGGGTTGATGCCACTGTTGATGTCGGAAGCCTTGTTGTCGTGGTAGTCGCTGTTGTTGTAGGTGGTGGTGGTGGTTGTGTTGTGGTAGTTGGTGGCGCAGTAGTTGTTGTGGTAGTTGTCGTCGTTGTTGGAGCAGGAGTAGTAGTCGTAGTAGTTGTAGTAGTTGTTGTTGTGGTTCTTGCTGTTGTAGTCGTTGACGGGGTAGTAGTAGTAGTCGTTGACGGGGTAGTAGTAGTAGTTGTCGTTGACGGGGTAGTAGTAGTAGTTGTTGTTGTCGTTGACGGGGTAGTAGTAGTAGTTGTCGTTGACGGGGTAGTAGTAGTTGTCGTTGATGGTGCAGTAGTTGTTGTTGGGTTTGCCATTGTGCTTAACGGAGGAATCGTTGTATCAGATTGACTAGAAACTGGGGAGAATACCTCAACGAATGGATTGACAGGACGTGCCATGATGGCAGCATTTGATGCTCCGGCGTCCTCCTGCAAAGATACAAAATCATCACAGATTATGAACTCGTAATGGATAAAAAAGTGCCCACGAGTAATTTCTTTTTCATATGCTGTTTTATATCATAACATACTTTCGATTTCGTTCGGTATTAATACCATGATCAATTTTTTACTTTGCAATAACGATTCAAGATGGCTTCCAAGTGACAGTTTAGACAAGTATAACTTACACCGAAATTACTCACCAGGATGTTGGACGCAACAGACGCTGTAATCACTGGCGAATTAGTTGTGACACCAAAGATTTGATCTAAGGGATCTTTCCACGGGAATCCAGGGGGCGCAGTGACGTCATTTCCTGATTGACCACTGGACAATATGTCCAAGGATGGCAAAGGTGCTCCAGCAGGACCCACACTACCAGCATTCTAAAAAGCAATATGCATTAAAATTTCTGAAACCTGTCCTGCAGCTCTGCACTACATATATATATTTTTAGTTTCAATTCGAGATTTCCTTTCATGTCATTTATTAAAAGCTATCTTATAAACAGTTTGACTCACCGCTACGGAGTTGATTTTCACACTGACCAATCTCGGGCTACTACTTGGCACACTGTCACTCCAGTAATTCACAAATTTTTCCTGCAAGTAACAATTTTTCGCTTAGAACAAACTCAAAACTAATCACGTTATGAAATTAAAAATTCCTTTCGTACACCAATCGCGAAGCCAAAAATCTACATACCGTCTACATGATCGTTCATTGTACTAACGCATAAAAAAATTATGATTGTAACTACAGCCATGTACGTGAAAATATTAATTTTACTTATCTATTTTCATTTAATTTCATATTTTCTTATGTAAACAAATAGATACGAAATGTCAATTACACCACTATTTTGGTTCATTTAGTAATAATTAAGTGAAAAAAAAAAGTTCGTAACAATATTTTATTGTATTAACAAATTTACCTGTCCGATATACACAGAACTTCGTTGACCACCGGAGTCTCTCGTTCGCGTTGCCTCGTCGGTTTCCTTTTGTTGAAATATTTGTCCACTTTGAATATTACCATTCGAAGGTGTTATTACGCTCAGAGGACTTCCAGTAGAAACAATCGGTCTTGCTGCAAATGCCGGAAATGCTGGAGCAATCGGAGATGGTCCCAGCAATGGAACGTTGTTCTGAAAGTTTAAATATTCCATAAATCATGTGATCTGATTTTTATATGTGGCGACTAATAAGAAGTTATCACAACTTGTATCAAGTCATTTAAAAAATTCAATTCCCTATTGAACGCAAGTGACCAGTCCAGTAAAGGCTGAACAGTGCAGAAATGTCATTCTTGATAGGTATTAATTTTTTATTTTTATTAAAATGTATGTAAAATCTCCTCCAAAGGGGTGAATTAAACGCTTTGTCTGGCGTATCTTCTTCCTTGATCGAGAAACTCATCGTAACTTATAGTGAACCAACCACTTGTTTTCAACGAAACATAACAAATTTAAAAAATATCGAAAAATGACGAACTATCTCTGTTTTACTTATTAGATATCGCAATAGATTTTTTTTCTCAACATATGTCATAATACATGGTTTAGATTTACTGAAACGTAACTTAAGTTTCAAATATACAGTCTCAAACTATTTCTTGCAAATACACAAAATACAGCCAGATTGAAATAAAAGGCAAACTAATTCAAATTTGACACTATGGCATAAACTATGGTGCTTAGTGCATGTGTCCAGTGCGTGCATAATGCATAACGTGCAAGCATATATGTACAAATGTACAGGAGATATTTATATACAATACAAAGTTCATTGCAGGAATATCATGTTTCGATATTTGTCTCATCCTGAAATAAAACAAAGCGGATTAGTATATTCATATTATACGTATTTCAATGATTAAAACGGCGAGTAGAGTTGTGAGGAAGAAAATGCGATACTTTTTAATATATATTATTATGTATCATTAAATTAAGAAATGCTTAATTTTGTAAATTAATGAGACTGAAGACGTAAGATGCAAAGGAAAGCAAATTTGCAGCGCCAATACGAAAGAATAAAACTGAATTAACAAATTAGGCTAGGTAATTAGGCAAGAAAACGGAAAGTAATAAATTATTTGTTCAGGGGTACGTAAAGACGTGAATAAAATGTTGAACGAGTACTGAGAGGAGATATTAAATTACTTTACTTTACCATAAGAAAGCACTTCTTTTTTTGGTAAATCAAACATTAACAAATCGTCAATTATCAATCGCGCTGTTAACATACTCCTGGTGACAGGAGGAACAAATACATGTTTTGTATGCAAAATCATATAAGAAAAAAAGAACTTCGAATATTTTTCGGTACCAATATTAACACACGAACTACGTCCTTTGCATACAAATAATGATCAATGAAGCAACAGATTTACTATAAAATATTTTCAAACAGTTTGCCTCTTCAGCAACAAAGTTTTAAATTAGTTACATACAAACATGTCGTCAAGCTTACTGCTTAACTACACATTCTTTGTATACTTAATTGAAAAACTAAAAAATAATCTCTCGTGAGCAAAAGTCAAAGGATTCCTAATTTTCAAAACATGACTAGGGAACCATTTTGTAATTCCGTGGCAGCAAAAACGTTTGGAAAACAATAAACAAAAAATTGGAAATAGCCGAAAACTGGACATTAATCACCGATCAAGAAACAACCGAAAGGAAGGTGATGAAGTTGTGAGTGTACCATTCTGTTGTCGGTGATACCGCTGGCAGCTAAGTACGGAGTACTGGACAAGCCTGAACCTCTGATAGGGCCAAGTGCGTTACCGATAATTCCTAGATCAACGTCTTCGAAGCGGTTTTGATCGGGCCTGGCTATATTATACACAGCGTCCTGATTATAGTACCCATTGTTATTAGCCTGATTATAGTAGACAAGGGGCTTGGGCCGGTTAGTGGTGGTAGTAGTTTTAAGGGTGAAGACAACCTCGACAGGGCTGCTGGGAGGATCCGGTATGACCGTCCCGTTGCGGAACTTCCGCACAACCTTTCCATCGGGGAAGATCCCGAGTATTACATATGGGTTGTCCAAATTCCTCGGGTCGATCAGGTTGTCCTCTGGCCGCTTACGTACGATGGTTTTGTTGGGATAGATCCCATACACGTAATAATCTCGAACCGGTGGCTTGGTAGGGGATAATGCCGGGACTCTGGGGATGGGATTGGGTCTGTTGGCTCCGAAGCGACCCAGATATTGAGTCGTCGAGGTTGGCGTTGTAGCCGGTACAACATTGCCGCAACAACGCGGAATCGTGGCAGGCTTTGGCACCCCGGTTGTCGCTATCGGGAGTTGTGTGGTGCTCGTGGTCGCCACGTTACCCATGGTTGACGGTGCCATCATTGTAACGTCCATCATCGGGGTGGTTTCGGCAACAAGGTTCTCGTCAACGCGAACCGTCGTTGTCGGAATCGTGGTCGTTGTCGTTGGAGCTACAGTCGTTGTCGTTGGAGCTGCAGTCGTTGTTGTCGGAGCTGCAGTCGTTGTCGTTGGAGCTGGAGTCGTTGTTGTCGGAGCTGCAGTCGTAGTCGTTGGAGCTGCAGTCGTAGTCGTTGGAGCTGCAGTCGTAGTCGTTGGAGCTGCAGTCGTAGTTGTTGGGGCTGCAGTTGTTGTGGCAGCTGTTGTCGTTTCTGTCGCAGCCGTGGTGGTCGCCGGTCTTAGCGTTGTCGTTTCGATCGGCGTATCTGACGTACTTGGAAAGGTCGTGAAGGAATCGGACGCTGGAGGGAAAGTTGCAGAGGAAGCAGGTCCAGGAGTGGTCGGTTGTTCCGTGAAAGAGGTTGGCTCGGACACGGGGGTTGTGGTCGAGTCGGGTTGCATTGTCGCTTGAACGTCGGAACCTGCCGTCCCTTGGGCGGTTGTTGTCGTTGCGTCCTGGAAACGGGCAAGCAAAGTTGTTGGAGTGTCGGTAATGGGGCCGGGGGTGGTTTGGGGGGTGGTTGTTCTACTTGTTGTATCGCTTGGCGGGTTAGTGGTGACTTCTGAGAGTAGATTGGGTGGGAGCTTTGTCGCAACTGCACGCTCGGTTGATACCATTGTTTCGGTACTCATCGCTACTTCTGGACTCTCTGTCGAGCTCGGAGTCATTGTTGTATCCTGTGCCAGTGTACTGGTCATTTCTTCTTCGGGCAAAGTCGTTCTTTCCTCGTCTTCGGATTCTTGTATGAGTGCTCGTATCATTTCCATTAACAAAGAGGAGATATTCGGAGAAGCTTTAACCGATATTGGAGTTGTTATCATTTCGGGACTTAAAGTCGTGGCAATCGTGGTAGCAATTTCATCCTCTGGAACCATTTGTGTCGTATTCTCCATTAAATCTGATTTTCTTTCAATATTATCTAAATATCCGCCGCGAAGCAGAGGGCCAGTATTCGTGTCATTTTCAGTTGTGGTTTCTAAAACCAAAGTCTCCGTTGTTATATCACTCTGAACTGTCGTCGAGTCATTAAAATTTAGTCGATCCGTAAATGTTATTGACTCCGTTGTTCCTTCTTTTACTGAACTTTCGGTAACATTCTCAGGGACTTGCGTTGAAACTTCCGCAACAACCCCTTCCGTTATAATTTCTAAAGTACTTAGCGTTGTCGTAGTCGTTAATACCGTTCCAGTCGTTGCGTCCGTCGTTTGTAAAACGTCAGTCATTGATTGAGAAAATTCCGAAGTTGCTTCTGTATCTATTCTATTACCCAACTCTATTTCTACATCTAATGAATTGATAGATGTTCCCAGATCCATTGTACCAATCGCATTTTCTGTTGTAGGAACACTTTCCATTCCTGTCGTCGACTCGGAGCCTACTTCCAGAAAATTATTTTCACCCTCTGAAACTTGAGACAAAACCTCATCCGTCACATTCTTCAAATAAATGTCTACATTTAGTAGACGACTTAGCTTATCGCTATAAGTTGTTGTTTCAGAACTATCCGTAGTCGTCGTTGTTCCGTCAGTTGTAAATTCTGTCATTGCCTCAGTCGTCTCGGATACATCTGACCGGACATTACTCCTCTGCTCAGTTACCGATCCGCTCGTTGTTTCTGGAACTTGACTCACTCCTTCACTCGTATTTATTTCTTGTGTCGTTGTCGCGGAAAGTGTCGTTGTGTCTCTCGACTCAACCGTCGTAGAAATCTGCATAACAGTGGTCATTTCCTCATTCCGAACCGAAGTCGTCGCTTCGGTCGTGGTTGAAACTCGAAAACCCTCGACATCAACGCTCAACCTCAAAGAAGGATTCGACAAATCGCTCGTATCACTTCCCTGTGACAAAGTCTCAGTCTCGATCCTCGAAACAGTCGTCGTCAACTCGAATTGTGTAGAAGCAATCGCTTCGGTAGTACTTTCGGACGATTCAGTGGGCACGGAAAGATTTTCAGGGGTGGAATTGGTACCGATAAGTTCCGTGGTCGTCCCTGCAGATGGCGTGGCACCCGCGTCAGTGGAAGATACAACACCAACAGTAGTTCCCAATTCCGTGACGGTAGCTTCTGTCGTCAGAGTTCCAGGTACCGTAGTTCCAAGGTCACCTGGGGTCTGATTATCTCTGGTTGTCGTCTCCATAAGATTCGATCGCATTTCAAGACCTCCATCGGTACTTGTCTCGCCTACTTCAGTGGTCGCAACCATGGTATCCAATTCCATAGGGGACGTAGTCATTGCTTGACTCGTTGTTATCTCCATCATGGAGTCCTGAGTACTCGAAATCATCGACAGATCATCCATGGCAGGCGTGCTCTCTGATTCTATCTCGGGGGACTGTGTTACGGTCGTCTGGGTCGCGCTAATGTCCACGGTTGTTTCTGTGGTCTGTGAATTACCGACTGTTGTTGGTACAGTGCTTGTTTCTGTGGTTGTAGGGGTAGTTGTGGTGGTGGTGGTGTCATTGTTAGGTTTGTTCGTGCCGTTGGGGTCGATATTGGAGTCATTGTCTACCTGGGCAACTCTGGGGAGTTGCTGCTCCCTTTGTTGCTGTCCGTCCGTCAGTAGTTCGTTGGTAATGCTGGCTGTCTCCAGAGCCTGGTAGAAGGTTATGACCTTGGGCTCGCCTGGACTCGAGACGTCGATCGGTGGTGCTTGAGCAAAATTCTGGAATCAAAAGGTGCGTAGTGCTGTACACAGAAATCGGTGCGAAGTGTGTTTCTGCAAAAAAAGCTGCAGAATTTTCCTGTTATTATGTACATCTAGACGGTAGGGTTAACTTACATATTCTGGTACCAAAGCACGCGTACTAATTAGGATAACGCACTCCTAGCTCGGAGAGAATGTTCGGTAAGAAGTTATTCTATGTACAGCATATTGCAGTAAATAAAAAATCATACGTGTCATATCGGTTATTTACAGGACACAAAGAATGGGAAACATTTTCTAGGAAGACCAAACGAAGAAAAGAAGAAACTGTTTGGACTAGTTCCCAAACTTCTTCAAGGTTTATACAGTCCAAAGTAGTGGTATTGTTATATGCTCGGTACTGCAATTATTCCAATGCCTATACCCCATAGATTATGTAATCTAAGAAAACATTTTCTCCATATACCCATGTTAATTCGTTATTAGTCACAAAAACGGGTAAGGTCTAAAAATTAAAATCGTGTGTATCTTAAATCCCTGATGAAATAAGACCGTACTCATCGTACTCATTCTGAATTATAATCTCGCTCCCTTGTCTTGCATTATTAGTGACTCGCTTCAAAATCGTGACTTAAAACAAGGACAGCAACGCAATGTCGACTAAAACGAGTTATGTAATCTGGAGCAATTCGGAGCTCTGCTCTATAATTTTCTTCACTTTCCGGTTTATCCGAGGTGAATTTAAATTTCATTTGGGAGGATATTAGCGTGGCATTAAATTCCTGATAACGATGAAGGGACGTATTTCGATAGTGGTTACACTGTTAAAAAAAATTCATACACTTATAGTACATAAGGCTGTACTAAAATTATAAATTTGATGTCGTAAAAGTGAATTAGTACACATTTTTTGCAAAGTTCCAAATAAATTTACGATTTTATAACATTATGTTATAATTTCGTGGGAGAATTATATATTTCATATTCGGAAATCAGTACACATTATTTATAATTTACTGAGATGAGTCTTTAATCTTATGATATTACTTTATCATTTTGTAAATGTGCCTTCTGAAATTATTATAGAATTATTATACACGTATGATAAAATGATTACTTTTTTTTCATAATTATTCTACATACGTGTGTACTAAATTTATAACACATGTTATATATTTATTTTGAAACTATGTTATAAAATTAGTATACCATATTTGAATAAAACTTCCATCAGAAATGTTATAAAATTTACACAATTTTTTTTAAAGTGTAGAATCGTACCGATCGGATACCTGATCGAAGCTTTCCGATATCGGGGGCGCTCTACATACTTGTGTACTAAATTTATAACACATGTTATATATTTATTTTGAAACTATGTTATAAAATTAGTATACCATGTCTGAATGAAACTTTCATCAGAAATGTTATAAAATTTACACAATTTTTTTTAAAGTGTAAAATCGTACCGATCGGATACCTGATCGAAGCTTTCCGATATCGGAGGCGCTCGCGCCATCTCTTAACGATCGCGCAAACTACGAAGAATAAAAGCGGACTGACTCCACGGACAGCCTCGCTTCTGAATACCTTAAATGATCTCGCCTCGAGAGTTCGTTCCTCGAGTTAGAGATCCGCAATATAGGTGGCAGACTTGCCATTCACTTCTACTCCTTTCCTTGGGAACGAATCGCGAATCTACCGATATACGGAATATTTCACGAGCGCGGCAATCCACAGTCACGCCTCATCACCCGATCTTCTATCTACACTATCAAAAAAATTCATAAAATTCATGCACTTTTAGTACATGAGGTCGCAGTAAAATTATAAATTTGATGTCTTAACAGTGAATTAATACACATTCATTGTAAATTCCAAGCCAAGCTAGCAATGTCATCAATGTCAATTTTCATCCATCCGATGACTGAAAGTGGAATACGAGCTACCGATTATGAAAAGTAATATTTTCGACAAAAAAAAACATTTCATTCGGCGTTTAAGGTAGGGCAGTCTAAAATCATCCTCGAACGTGCCCGGAACATATATTTTTATTTGCTTTGTTGCAGAAAAAACATTTAACATCAATTTTTTACCGACGTCGAGCAAGTTCCTCCACGTGTCTCACTTCACCTTAAGAAAATTTCCTACATTGGAGAAAGTGAAACGGTTGATATTGAATGTGTACTGTGTGTGCTCACAATTTACGGTGAGAAGGTAATAAATAGTACAAATCTAGTCGATGTCCATCGAGTCTGAGTAAATACAGCTTGCTTGACTTATTCACCTCCGAAAATGTCGATTCTCATTTTAGCGAATTGCGACCGTTTGCACGTAGCCGACCTCGAGTGCGGATTTTTTTTCTTTAATTTCTTATGCACTCACACTATGTGCACCGGTTATCAAACTTGTCGAGTTCTGGGGGAACGTTTTAACGCGTTCCGCAAGATTTCACGTATCGGTCGTGTGTGTAGGTAGGTTGCGTGCACACACACGGACACACACCGTGTTACAAAATGTTTCTTGGAGATACATGTAGCGTTATACTTTCACTCGTGCTATGTACTATCATGCCAACCCGAGGCACGTAACAGTCAAAAACATTCCAACATTGCAGTATTATCAAGAAAAAGAAAATAATATTAATAGCCGAAATGGTGATATCAACATTGAATTTTTCGCCTGCCTTAAAATAATGTACGCAAATGCTCTCTAATTTATATTCATTTTCTTTTACCTGGATGTCAAATTATAAATTAAATTCCAATGTAACATGTTACGCTCTCGATTAGGAATTAAGTATATTTATTATGGCATATATTATGGAAAGTACATTAATGTTAAGAAATAAACGAAAAAAAAAGAACATGTATGACTGAACATTAAATTTGCCATACATCTAAGTCAGCGGACTCGTCATGATTTAACTGCTTCCGGGTCTCGTAATAAGCTCGTACGATGGGAGATTTAAGTGAAATAATCCCGATAATAGCAGTCCAGAAATATATAATGGCAGTCCTACTTCGAATAATAATTTTTTGCAAAGATCTACCTGCCTTGGAGCTACTTCGTTTAACGCCGTTTTACGCCTCGTGCAATAATACCGTTGCCGTAATCACGCTTAAAAATCGTAATACGTAAACCCAAGACGCATTAAACCGATTTTATTACTTTCTCGTAAACAGATTCATAAACTAGAGGTCAATGACTAAGCCTTCATCACTGCTGTCAGTACTGAAAATGTCATCACTTCATTGACCGATCTTTATTTCCTGTTAAATTGTTTGCACTAAGAGCGATCTACTTCAATAGCCTGCAAGCACCTCCTATTTTTTTTTTATAATTACGGAAACAGCCACAATAATGGGTACAATAGTTTTCGAGAATTGATCGGGTTGAAACGAAATTATGATAATGTCATTCTATTAATTAGGTTTTTTCATACTTTTGCATGTTGATTACGAGTGCAATACTAATGTACACTGTTAAAAAAATTCATACACGTTTAGTACACAAGGTTGTAATACAATTATAAATTTGATGTCTTAAAAGTGAATTAGTACATATTTGTTGCAAACTTCTAAATAAATTTACAACTTTATAACATTGTTATATTTTTGTAAATGTGTTTAGAAACTGTTTGGACTAGTTCCCAAACTTCTTCAAGGTTTANTAAATTTTCTATGGACCCCTCTTTGGCATTAATATAAAATATGAGATTATACATGTTCTAAGCATTGCGACAAAGTATGAAATAACTGAATACCCTCCCCTGCAGATTTTTTAAAAAGGAAATGAAGTCATTGTCAGAAATGTGAATGTTTCATATTTATAACATGCACAGGTGCGAGAGGATGTAGGTGCAAAAAGAGTCGCACGGTATGTGCGTTAGAAGAAAAATGCATTTATTTCGCAGGTGAAATATTAATTGGGTTATTTTAAGAGTAATCGCTCATTTGAAAGCAGTATATTAATTAAAGACATGTAAGTGTTGATTGTTGTACACAGAAGTAACGTCAATTAGATAGAGCATAGAAGAACATATGAAGGCGCATTTAGTTTTAGTACATCTTATGATACAAGAAATGACAGAAAGCCGTACAAACGTACAATAAGAGATGAAATAGTGATACGATTCTATAAAGCCACCCTGATTTTTCTTGTGTCACATCACACTGTAAATGTACACTCGCAATGCGTATAGTCTACCTTAAAACATAGAGCAGTAAGCATCGTGTATACGTACAATTAACCTGCTGCATTAAACATAAGCGAACTCGAAACATGTGTTTAAAGTTTAATATCAATAAATAATCAGTTTTTGACTACATATAGAATTCCTTTTTTCCTCTTTCACGGAAATGAAGCCTCCCTTTCGGCATTTTTACTCCGCAATTTCGACGTATTACTTCATACCAAAAAAATCGGCTTTTTTTTTATTTCAAACGTAACGTCACGTATAGTATTTTCGAAATTCAATATATATTGTAAGATCAGGTAAATGGACGCGATGTAACTCATAACTTGCCATCGGAGTATACATGTATAATTGTGTAATGTGCATTCCTTATGCCCGTGATTGTAAATTTTCATACACATACCAGTCTGGCAATGTGAATAGGCATGCACGGATGAGACGATAAAAAAAAATCGATTCACGCACGGCCGAACGCGTTTTACTGTAATAGCCGTACATATCATTGCGAATAAACCATTTTTTTTTTTTTCCTTAATATTTCCCCATCTTCCTCTTACCTCGAAATTCCTGAAATTCCTCAGTATATACTATTGGATTACATCAGTACTTTAAGAACTTAGAGAGTTACTCGTTACCGTATGAGAGAAGTATATATTATATGGTCAAATGAGCCCTTTTATAACAAAGAAAATTATAACAAACATTTACTAACAAAGTGCGTTAACTAGGAAAGTTAAGAATTTCTGTTGTCATACACACCATCACTTCGTATCCATTATGTTCCGAGGACGTTATGCAATAAAGTTCCTCCACTTCTTGCGAACATAGGTAATGTAAAAGGTAACAGGTATTTAAAAAAAATAATGCACTCTGCAAGTTATCATTATGCTTAATAAATCCAATGCGATAATTATGCAACGTGGGTGGCTTTAGAAATGAGTTGAAGAAAAATAAAAATACCTTGGCCACTTGGAATAAAATATTCAACGACCCAAATCTGAGAAATCACAATTACTGTTTCTGTACCCACACTTGTGAATACCGACACGACATTGCGTGACTTAAGGTGAAGTGAAACCTCTCTCAAATCAGTCGATTCGAATAATACACTATTTTTTATTCTATGCAATTTGACGTAAAGAAGATTTTGATCATACATGTAAATCACAAGATCATTTTTGATTTCGATTATATTGAACTATTTGTACGTAATCGGGCGAAGCCTAATAATAAATCAGGCCTCAATTAGTCATATCATGCAATTTGACGTAAGAAATATTTTGATCATACATGTAAATCACAACATCATTTTTGATTTCAATTATATTGAACTATTTGTACGTAATCGGGCAAAGCCTAATAACAAATGAGGCCTCAATTAGTCATATCATCCAATTTGATGTAAAGAAGATTTTGATCATACATGTAAATCACAAGATCATTTTTGATTTCGATTATATTGAACTATTTGTACGTAATCGGGCAAAGTCTAATAACAATTGAGGTCTCAGTTAGTCATATCGTGTATGTTCGGGCACGCTTTCGGTCATTAATTTGGCCTTAGCAGAACGTGCAGTTCAACTCTACGAGATGCTTCCCCTGGCTTTAGTTCTGACTTTAGACGGTTGTACAACACAAGTTGAATCGTTTGCGAAGGTCTTACCTCGATTGATGGGTACGGCGTCGTGGAACTGGTGATAGAGGGTACAGTTGGTTGATAAATCGTGGGCTTCCTCAAAAACAATTCCGCCCCCTTATATCTTGCACTAAATCTCGGTGGTGAACCACTGGGCGTGATTCTAGGTGCGGAATTCTGTAACACCAAGACACGGCATGTTCATAACCGATGGTCTAAAAAGTGTACAACGTTACCGATTCATCGCACCAAATCCTGACATCGTTGTCTCCTCAACAAGTTGAGAAAAATCTTCCCACACAAAATTCGATCTTAAGGGATTATATATGCAATCATCATACGCGAAATTCAAGAATTTCTTTTCATAACTAAAATGCATTTTTTAATGGAAAACAGGGCGTCATTTCATAGTACAATCATTGAACTTAATACCTCAATTTCCTTTTTGTCTCAAGATATATTTAAAAATCGCCGAGGTACAGCAACTCTCTGAAAAAGATTTTTTCTTAGCGGCGACCACGAGATTTCAAAAAGCATTTCACCGATCGGCATCCAATTTTTAGGGCTCATTCTGCACATGGAGGACTGCGCTCAATAGAATTGTTCTCGGTTGTCCACTCGAATAGACGAAAAGCAGGGTAGGGCACTTGAAGTTAATTGAAATACTTACACCACCATTCGTGTTCTTGTAGGCGCCGGAGAACACCGGGGTCTTGGCACCAAGGGAACCAAGAAGTGGAGCCACGGTGCTCCTCAGCTGTTCCAAGAGAGACGTGTTCCGGTTGGTCAGGAAGACGCTCCTGGTGGGATTGACGACGTTAGAGTCCAGGTTGCCCGAAGACCCATCGTTTCTGCTGTCTACGTTGAGTTGCCCTTGCTGAGCTTGGAGCCGAAGTTGCTGAGCATTGCCGGACCCGTTCGAGACCCGAAGATTGACAACGTGTTCCTGTCCTGGACGGGGCAGGGTGGTGGTATCCGAGGACTTGACGGTGGCGTGGAACTTGGGGGCCTTAGGAGTGATGGCGATGCTGATCGGTCCGGAACTCGTTGTCTTTTGCACCGCGCTGGTCGGACCTTCCGAGTGCCTTCTGTAGGTGGAAGTTCTCGGCCGGAATTCTCTCTGTCTGGCAGCGATAGTCTCGGTGACGATGGACTTGGAGATCGAGTCGTATGGCCGGAATACCTGGCTCTTCTTTCTGCTGTACCTGCTGGTCGGCAACACGGGCTTGGCAGTCGTGGTCAGTTCCCCGAGGTTATTGGACAGGCCAGAGAGACCAACGTAGCCGGAACTAATTGGCTGGAACTTCTTCCCCGCCTTGGAGACCACTTTACTGGCTACATTGTCTATAGAAAACCTCGGGACACTCGGTTTCTTCGGCTCGACGATGGACTTGGCACTCGAGGAAGGACCGCCTTCGTGGGAAGAGACGCTGATACGCGTGACGACCTCGTAGGACATCGGCGCCGTTGTGGAAAACGATAAGGGCTTCTCCACCTTCTTAGACTCTGCCAAAGGTTTCACCAGGTCTACTCCCAACTCGTTCTCCAGTTCTTTTTCCACGTCGGACGACCCTGGTGGTTTCGGGACATCGGGATCGGGAACTTCTTTAACTTCTCGGCGTGGGGCAGGTTTAAAAGCTGTTCTGCTACTTGGACTTGTTTTTAGCTTCGCGATTTTAACGCGGTTTGCGGGTTTCTCTTCGCCTCCTCTTCCGGGGAGACCGGCGTACCTCGACTTTGCAGATTTTACAACCTTAACCTCTTCGCGAGTTTGAGGTGTCGTTGCTTTCTCGCGACTCCCTAGGCGTCTTTTCACCGATGAAATTACCGTTGTTGATGACTGGGCTAGCATGTCGTCATTTCCGCTTCTTATTTCTGGCTTCACGAGCTTCTGGGCAGACTCCAACTTCCTTCTCGCTTGTGCGGCGAATAAAGCATCGTTAGGCGATTTTTTTGAGTAACTCTGAAATTATTACAAGAATAATCAATAATGGTTATTCACAATAACAATCTACTCTAACATGCCTTGGAATGGAAAGTATTATTTATGCGTAGACCCTACTACTAATACTCCTACTTCTGGCGACTTTGTTATAAAGACTACATGAATATTAAAAATAAAAGTGGAATTTAAATTAATAAATTTAAATATTGCAGTACCGTACACATATACAGTTCTTTTTTATAAAATGTTGTCTCCTTTATGTGAATGTAAATGTAATGTAACGTGAAAATATACATTTTTATACAAACTGTATTGAAAAATGTAGTCTTCGGCAAGAAACTAATGTATGCATTTCCTCGTCTATTCCTCCTACCTGCTTTTTTATTTAAATGCTGTACCATTATTTAAGGAAATGAAATGGTCAAGCTCTTTAGGATTGACGTTATAAACGATTTTCAGTGAACCATGATCTCTATTTTAATATTACCAGTAGCCGCTTCATTATACATTATAATGAGAAATCAGGCCACAGTAATTCTCAATCGGAATAATCATGAACTTTTCGTCACAGTTATGGAATAACTGTGATAAATCAATTCTTTCCACCGATCACGAAACATTCAACCGCAATCGATTTTCCAAATGTCGTGGAGAGAATCCGAATTACACGGCATGATCAACGGATATATATATATTAGAAGTCTGTCACAATAATATATATATAAATCATATTCTGGCACTAAATAATACCTAGTAATATAAATTTTTTTTTTAATTTAAATAAAATTTGATCGTTTTTTAACATTACAGATTGGCTATCATATTACTCCAATACATTAGAAACCACGTGTTTCATAAAATGCATAATTTTCATTCTTCCGGATATAACATTCTGCAGGTAAAAAATCGAAAATCAATGAACACGTTTTGGAAGACAAGCTGGTTAACATGAGGTTGTTTAAATAATTTAAGGGCAGGGACAGCCATTATGCAATATTGTGAAGTTTACTTGGTGATACATCTCGAGGTTACTCCAGCCAAGTTTTCTCTGTTTTATTAATTGGAGCAGCTTTCGAACCACTTCCACCACACCTTTGATTGAGAAGGTCGACGGTTTTACTTTTTAGCATATGAAGTAACACCCAATCGACATAAGAGATAGGTTTCAATTCTTCCAAAAATAGCACTCTATTCCTCCAGCTGTGATATTATGGAACACATTTCGAGAGACAAATTGATCGCCATATATTAATTTTGAAATGACAATTGAAAGTACTATAAATTTATTACTAAAATTTCTCGTGTCATTTGATACCAAATGAAGTGTCCGATAATAATCCTGAAGTAAGAAATGCATTTTTACTAAATGTTCATAATTAAAAAAATCTAATTTCTATATACGTTCATACATTATTGAAACTAAATACGTCATTGAGATGTTCAAGAAATATTTCAGATATCTTCGTATGAGATCTACAAGACGTCTTAAAAATATCTTTCGGTTGAGATATTTAGCAAAGACTACAAAGAAATATTTAGAAATTATTCCGTGCTACCAGGGGTATTAATAAATGCACAAAGGCGAACTTTTCGCGGTGGGCTACTTTTAATGCAGGATACAGCCCTTACGCAATTTGCAAATATTACTTTTAGAGGTTTTAATTTCGTGGTCGGCCGAGCCACGTTCACCACGCCCTCTGATCCAGAAGAACGTTCACTTTCTCCAAAGAGGAGCCCGAAAGTAAAATAAAAAAAAAGAAGAAAAAAAAATAAGAATCGACAGGACTATGCGAACCGGTTGCAGTAACTGCGCCCGCTCGTCATTGGACTTTCACGTGAGATCAGTGCCAATACTTCGGGAGAAACCAGTCCGAGTAAGAATTTTCGAAGAAAATGATAGATGCACCTTTCAAAATCCAGGAGAAATATCGTAACTGGGGGTAGGAGAAATCCCGAGAAACCAACAATTGGTAGTTCGAGCTGCACCTAGCCACCGCCAAGCAGAGGTGTAATTATTAACACGGTTAAAACACGCGTAACTAATTGCAGAAGTTGAGCGATCCCTAAGAGCAGTATTGAAGGTGCCACAGTTATTGTTCCCGGCGAGCCATTATCTCAAGAAACGGCCACTCAAGATATATAACTACCTTTAAATGAACCTCTACGCACTTTTATGAAACCGATGGCAGCCAGATCTAACCTGTAATTCATCGCTTAACTACCTTGCAACTAGGCTTCACCAAAAAGGAAATTATCTAGTTGCGCATTTTCCTACCGCAGGACTTCTGTGAAGTCCCCTTAAATCAGTGGATTCGAGTAAAACACTTTTTTTTTAAGGGTTTTGAATAAAACTGTCTGAAACTTTGGCACACGACTCGTGAGCACCTAGGAATTATCCTGACACTTTCAAAATTTGGATTTTTCAAAAAAAATTTGTTAACTTAGCCCAGATCAGAAACAAAATGGCGTCGAGCTCTCATATTTCGATTTATATCCAATTATTGAATGCTTCGATATGTGCCCATAATTGTGAAAGTGGTCTAAGTAATATATTTCTTGTTTCAAAAATTACATTGAATAAATTAGTTTAAAATCATGTCGTGTGAAATAAGTGATAAATTCATTTTTTTTTTAATTTTGACTTAGACCACTTTCATAATTATGGGCGCATATGAGAAACGAAAGGGTCAGGACAATTGTACGATAATTTAGAACACTCTGGTAATGGAGAAACTTGCATTTGAATCGGATAAAGGCAAAAAAAGTGTCTTATGCACTTCTATGCTAAAACGATGGTAATATAAAGTCCCGGAGTGAAAATTTGGTTGATATAAAAAATCACAGATGACGCAGGGTGTCCCTCTGCAGCCAATTAGGGCCTCAGAAACGATGAATGAATTTCCGGTATTTTACGTCGATTTCTTTATAATTATTGTAGGAAAACGACGGATGGAATACGCCATTTAATACAATACTCGATACGATTCGACACAGCTGTCGATATAAAAACGAACGTCGGCAACGTATGTATTTAGAAAAACCTTTTTTACCGACCACGATCAAGTTCCTCGACGTGTTTCACTTCACCTTAACCGTATGTACCAAAGTGTACCCTTTCTCCAAAAGAGAAGTCAATGTGCATTCGCCTTCATTGTCAAAATCGTCGATTTGTAGTCTTGCGAAACTTCCTGGACTTAAAAGGACGCTTATAGACGCCTGCCTTTGCCTTTGAACAGTCTTTAGTTCGGACTAGTTTTTTCAGTGGCCATTAAAATTAGTATGATTATGCATCTAAAATATGCGCAGCTCATAAATACTCTTACTCACTTGAGCGACGACCGAGCTCGGAGTGGACTTCACTTCCTGCACCTTCGCAACAACGGGACCCTGCTGAAATCATTCGCAAACTGCCAATTAACTTCAAATTAATAAAAGGGGATGTGAAAGTGGCATCCAAAATGTCAATCGTGTATAAAACTTCCACGAACTGGGTGTACCAAGTCGTTTGAAACTTTACAACATGAATTCGAAAGCCCTAACGTAGGTCCTGAAACTCATGAGGTTTGATTTTGTAGAAAGAATTTCAAAAACATCTACAAAGAAATTACATTTAAATTGAAATTCCATGGGCGTCAGGATCTTCCTCATACTCCCCATATTCACATTGTAAAGTTTAATGCGATTCGGTACACGCAGTTTGAAGAAGAGTTTCATAAAAGAGACCTCTTTGCCGCCACTTTCACATCCCCTTAAAGAGGAAATCTTTCAGTCGTATTTTTCAATCGATTACGGATTTACCATTCTCCCGTCGAGAAGGAATAAATTGAAAAGTCAAAAGGTTTACCAGTTGCGCCAGTTTCGCTTTGAAATCCGCCGGATAGTTGTCGCTCTCCTCGAGGTCGCCTTTGGGGTTCCTTCCCGTACCTCCAGGTTTCTCGTGTATCTTGTTACCTCTTCTACCCTGATTACCGATTCCCGTCGACCCAGAATTTGAGGGATTTTGACTTTCCATAGCATCGTTCAACTTGGATCTTTTCAAACCTCTTCTAACCACCGGTGACAATGAGGTCGCAGTCGGATTCGTCGTGGAAAGGTCCACTTCCACGTTCAACAATGATTCGGTAGATCCTGCAACGTCGTTGCTCCTGGAGGTCTCCGTGGTTAAATCCGGAACATTGCTAATCGACGATAGCGGAGTGGATGCAGAAGATAGGAAAGAGGTCGACCTCTTTGCACTAGACCCAGACTCCGACCAATGACCTGGTCTGCGTTTTAAAGTCCACCCTGGATTACCTCGCCCTCCGACCTCGGGTCGTCCGGTCGGCAAAGTAGTTCCCCTCACGGAATCGGTTCTAACTGTTGAGGTCTGGCTGATGTGTCTACCTCTAAACCCGAGTCCGTGATTGAAAAAGTCCTCCTTCGAGGCTCTCGTCGATGGCCCTCGACCTCGACCTCGCCCTCTCGGCGTCGTCGTAGAAGACCCGGTTACTCTCCTCGAGGTCGTCAACGATGGGGCAAGAGTTGTCGGCATCGTCGTCGTGGTTGTAACCGTGCTTTCCGTTGTCGAGGAAGCCTCCGAGATGGTTGTCATTGTGTTGACTTCGGTGGCGGGTAAGGTCGATGCTTTGGATGTGGTAACGGCAACATCGACCACGGTAGATCTAACCTCGATCGATGTTCTCGAAGGAAGCGACCTCGCCGTGATGCCGTCCCCTCTCGTTCGTCCTCTGGATCTTTCCCGATTGTCCAGTTCGGTCGACCTCCCGTCTTGATCTCTCGACCTGACCTCAAGAACTGGATTGCCAACGTTGACGTTTTCATTCGCCACCCTCCGACGCGGCTCCAGGGAGGGTTCCTGATGCCGCGAGGAATTCTCTGAAACCCGGGACCTCGACTTCGACCTCGAACCGGAGTCGATGGGGTTGACTCCTCGAGATCGGGATTCGGAATTCCTGGCGCGACCGTCGCTCTGTACTCTTCCGAAATTCCCGTTCTCGTTACTTGGATTGCGTGACCTCCCCGTAGACTCCGGCGAGGTCTCTGCAAACCTCGACGAACCTCTTCTCAGCGTTCTCTCGGAACTCGCCGTCGAGGTATCCCCGGTCCTCTGCTCGGTACGAGTATTTGCCCTCCCCCGACTTTTCGGGGTCGTGGTGCCTTGCTCCGAATTTCGGCGAAAGACCTCGGACGACCTCGTTGGTGGTTGTCTGGATGCCGCGACTCCAACCCCATCGGACGCTGTCGTAAAAATCGAAGATCCAGTGACAGTGGTTGTCGTTATCTCGGAAGCTTCCACGGTCAAAGGAACGTCTACCCTGGCGCTATCCAGCCCTAGAGGCCCGACCTCTTTCGCCTTCCGGACTTCGAGGTTCTCCAAATAGCCGATGTCGTCTTCCCGAACTGCAGAGTTGGAACTCGGTCCAGGTGTAACGCGAACTCCTGCGCCATTTTGTCGTCCAGAAGAACCAACAATTTCCGCGATACCATTGGAGGTCGCTTTCTGACTCCTCGAGGTTGCTATCTTTCTGCCACTTCTTGACCTCGCTTCCTCGGAAGTGATGGCTGGTTCGTTTCTTCTAACTTTATCGACCGTTCGTTGGATCTTGGCGCTGGAATATCTTCCATCTGGGCGTGTTTCGGACTGTCTTTTGGACACTTCTAGCCCTATCCCGTCTGACTTGGACTTTTGGTACCTTCTAGCAGAATCTATCACGTTCCTAGCGACTCCCTTAAAGCCTTCATCGGTGCTCGTCGATGGTGCCGTCGTAATTCGTCTAACTCGTCCTGAGCTCTCCGAAACCGACGCCTGACCAGCCGAGTCCATGGGCACTCTTCTCTGTGAAATCTTTATCTTCCTCCCAGTGCTTGATCTCGGGCGATCAGCTGATCCGGAGAGAACAGATGATCCACTTCTATCCAATCTTTCGGTGGTTCTTTCTATTCGAGGTCTCGAGAGTCCTCTAGCCACGGTTACCTCAGGCTTCCGCCTTGATATTTCAGTCTCTATCCTACCTTCTGCTCCATTCCCTTTTCGCCCCTCATCAGCTCTCACGGACGACGTCGTCGAAGTCACTCCAGCACCCTTTGAAACCGAGGCTTGACCATCGAGATCCGCAGATTTCCTCTTGGACGAAGACTCTATCTTCCTCCCGGTCCTGTACTTCGACTGTTCAACAGGTCCTGAAAAAACCGATGGTCCGCTAGCTCCGTCCAGTCTCTCCGAGGTCCTTTCTGTCTGAACCACCGAAGGCTCTTTCTTAACCCCATCGACTGACTCCTTTGGTGTCCCCAGTCCACTCCCGACCTCGGCAACCTGGGACTTTACTTCCGTTTTCTGCAGATCGCCTCCACCTGATGTCGCAGCACCCTTCGAAGAGGATTCAGTTCTTCCTTCTTGTATTTTCAACTTTCTCGGATAGTTCCTTCTCGACGCGTTCCCAGTATTTCTTTCGCTGGTTCCTGCATTCGCCCTTTTCCATTCTTCGGTACCCGATGGATGTCTACCCTGACGGCGATCCACGTTTTTATTTTTCCTCTCCGAAGTGGTCGATGCACTCGAAGGAGTTCTTCTTTCCGGGATTCTATCCGGATTCGAACTCGACCTTCCATACTTCCATGAAGTACTGGCACCCCCGATCTTACTTTCTGATGTGGTCTTCCCAACATCGTTCCCGGGTCGCTCGGGTGTCAAATGTTTTCGGGTGAACTTCGGCCTCGATGTTGCATCTACGGATGCCCCCACATCTTCTTCGACTACTTTCGAAGTGAACCTCGAACTACCTCGGCCTCTCGGTCCCAAAGACCTCTGCTCGTCGACCTGTAATCACACAAAAAAATCCAGACTCTTAAGATGATATGAAAGGCGCTGCGAAATTTAAGGGGATGTGAAAGTGGCATCTTAGGGATCAATCCTTGAAGAAAATATTGATCTGCACTTTTTTCCAGATTAATTGGTGACGTCGGTAATAGTATCATTGCCTCGATAATCGAATATCAAACTGATTGAGAAAGGTCTTTGCCTTTCAGCAATTGCTTTCTGTAATAGAGGGAAAATAGTACTCCCAGATATTAATTTCCATTACGTACCGTGTAGGAACTCAAAAGCACACATATTGATATTACAATAATATGCTCACATGGGCGTAAGATATATGCATAGAGTTTATATATATGTAAGGGATGAAGAAAGTGCAGCAACTCTGATAATAGGTAATCTCTTTATGATTACCTAACAGAGACAAGGCAAACCAGATTTTCTATACGCTTTTACAAGGATCTAATCTGCATCCGTTGGTTTTATTAAAAGTAGTATTGACTATTTCTTTGGAGCCTGCACAACTACGGAACAACCACTGTCATTACTTTTTACGATATCATTCATTACGTTAAGTTGAATATTTCGCTGCGACCTTACGCAATTGTTCCATCTCGTACAAGTGGGATAAAATATCGTTACAATTGCTCCATGCAACTGACCGACGGGGATTACAAAACAGACACGTAAATTATAAATTCCAAGACAATTTAGAACTTACACAATTAGGCCATGCACGTAAGAAAGTGTCCCTGTTATCCCATCAAGTTCGGCAGACATTTATTTCCATCGAAAAATAAATGCAAATGAAAAGTGAACTAAAAAATTCAATTTGCGACGTTATTTCGATATCTGCATATTTTTGGGGAAAAAATAAAAATAAAATAGGAAATCACAAAATGGATTAGCAGAGAATACTCATTTCTATTCGATGCTACTTGCTTCAGCGAGCAGTCAAATTACGCGACCCTGCATTTGCATAACCGCAATATGAATTTCCCGTATAAATCGACGTTTCATAAACACGTGAGATTTAGAAAGACATTGCGACTCGGAGCTTTGCACCGATTGAATCGAAATTCGTTCTAGATCGAACCGATCACGTCGATTGATCACGCGATGGGATCGCTCAAGCGTCCCGAGGCCTCAAATCGCTTCTAGTCGAGCAAATTGCGTAATTTGCAAAACCCGTTGGAAACGAGTTGCACCGCTCGAAATGGTCCTACAAATCGCAGAAAAGTCCATCGGAACGAGAATCGATTAGTCCGGACACATCCGAAGGCTTCCAACCAGTTGACACCCATAAAAAGATAGCCCTACTAGCACAGAACATTTGTCTTATATTTTCTAGATATCAAACGAATATCATATATTTTGTAAATATTTCACAGGCATCTGAAATAATTGAAAAACATATAGATACCTAAATTTCTGTGTTTGATGTGCGTGGAAGAGAAAACAAGGTTGACGACAAAATTGCGCACGACCTTTCAGTTCGGCGTGCGTAAAACGACTACAATGAGACGTGCAGTTTGGAGCTCGAACTTGATAGGCGTCACTAACGTAACAGGTTCTCGACAACTCGTCGGGTATGCATTAGACCATAATTAGAAAGGAAAAGTGGTCCGTACTGGCACGCGTCCTGAGACTGCAAATCCGAGAGGCGATTTTCAGGAGAGTACGTTAGGCATCTAGAAAAGTTTCAAGACCCATTTCTCGTTTCCGATGCTCATCGTTTCAGCAAAAGGATTATTTATTTACGTAACACTGCTAACATGTCCGATCTCGACTCGACTCATCTCTAATCAAACGTTTCTTTCTCCTTCTTTCTCTTTCATACTCCCATTCCTTCAATCCTTGCACCACTCTTTACAATCTCACCCTTATCAGATACTTGTCGGATCGCTGGTCGTGTTGACGTTTTTCCTTAAAAACTATCATTATCGCAGAATTGCTCCGTTGTTCACTCACGCACAGCAAACTGCTAACTTTCCCTTTTCTACATCGAATTACCGAAAGGGACGGTACTATACTCGAAAAGAGGAGAAAATATCACCTAATGAGAGAAAACAATACTCGAACCATCATAAATATTTGTTAACCAATCTGAAAAGTCATGATCCTAGAAATAAAAAATTCTCTTCTACCGTTTCATCTAGAAAGCGCGATTCATTTTTATCCATTACACGGTCTCTTTATTTTCTATTTCCAAATTTCAAGTGAACTCAATTGCACATGTACGTACGCGGAATGAGCAGAGATTAAGACTGTGCCATCAAATGGTTAATTACCCCCTTAGGCCCGTTAATAAACTATTTACGGCGCGGCTAAGCGAACGTCGAAATGATTTATGTTTAATGGTAACTAAGGACGCTCCTCCAGGACGTTTGCCTGATTGAGATCGCCTTAAATGTCCTTCAACACGATTACATATCCAGACATAATTCATGAAACCATCATCCGGAGTACAAGAAAACAAATGTTGCTCCAAAGTCCACCATGCATAATTTCCTGCATGACTCTGAACATTTCTGCTCTCCCTTCTGATTAATATTCGACTATACCCAATAAGGTTCACCCAGGTGAGCATACGTCGATTAATAAGGAAACTCATTCCATTTCCTTATTAATCGGCATATATTCCTCCCCAGGTCAGCTCGTTACGTCCATCTTGACCTCAACTTTCAGGTCAGACTTTTTGGATGATTCGACCACACCGTAACAACTATCAGTAATGCAAAATGCTCGTTAATAGTGTACATTGTATTGTGAACATTGTCAAATTCGTACGAATGTCAATTTTAGATCGACATTCAGAACCGTACAAAACAATTAGGCTTCCATCCTTTTAGCAATAAATGTCCGAATGACCCCTCTTCCCAATCTACCAATAATCCCAAAATACAAATTTCATTTTTGAGGTTTTGGCCAGCTTTTTCATCATTTTCGCCACTGTGAAACGTTTCTGAAAGCGTGCAAAGTACGAAATCTGTTATCGATAGTGAGAGGTTGGCTCTTGTCACATCGAAGGTAGACTTCTTTGATGTCGGCCGGTTAAGTAGGTTTAGCGAAATGCCTTGTCCTTCACTCTTTTTTTTTTGATTTTCAAGACTTTTTGGCGATATTTGGGACAACCTTGAAAACGATTGCTGTCGGTATCCGGTTCATAATAAGAAAGTATTATGAGGCCTCCAAGGCATTTAAATTAATGCTCCATACTAAAAATAATATATTATTTAAATAACCACATCAGGTAATTCGGCCTTTTGTTCTCTTTCTACGTGTTTCAGATCAACTCGTGGGTGATGAATCCCAGAGAGAAAGCGTTTGCATTTTTTTTATAAACAAGGAAACGTGGATGCTGCGATTGCCCGAATGAGATGTAATTTACGAAAAGGTCACTTGGACCCTGGCGTTAAATTGCCTCTTGATTGAGCTTGCTTACTTTTTTATCACCACCGCCAGTATAAAAAATGTTAAATGGAAGGAACCATTTCCGCGAATCGAATGAGCAGAGAAGTGCTGATCGATGTTTTAATCAATTGTGTAATCTGTTACCGACTGCTTTGTCAAGTAATTGATTTTACTATCCAAATGTGATAAATTTTACGGAACGGAAATAGACGGCATTAAAATTAGTCCACGTCACGAATAAGACGCATAAAATGGTATATTAAATTTGAAAATCCTGATTATTCTACGGATCGTATATTTCCCTGATAACTCGATACCCAAATATATAAAAATAATTGTAAATAATAAGAAATACAAAATAGTCATGAAAATAGCTGGGTTAATTTTTCTAAAAAATATAACTGCGAAATTTTAATATATGCCTGTACTGTTAAAAAAAAATCGAACGTTTAATACCAAGTACTGATCAACACAAACGTTATAACATATATTATAAATTTATTACACATATGTACTAAATTTACAATATATGTTATACATTTTATTTGAAAATATGTTATAAAAGTATCATTTTTTTTTTTTTTTTAACAGGGTAC